GGGAGACTCTCGTCCAGGAATCCCGGTGCTGAATGATGTTCCTGCGCTGAAACTCATCTGCTTTCACCATGTCCGGCTCAGAATGATTCATAAAAGCACATGAAAGCACTGGTATCTGTGGGAAATTGATGACAGAAAAGACTTCTTAAAATAAACCGAGAGCTTCATCCATCCTGTTCCATCGCTGGGGTTTTATGGGCTCCATCTCTCATGCCGTGGCCTTTTTTTAGTCCTCTAATGATAAGCGAGAGTAATATAAGATTAAATCTTCCCTTTGACACTGTAAATGAAGTGAATATGTAACTTGTAGTCTCTTCTGCTCAACAGGGCTGCATTTATTTGATCAAAAATACAGTAAAAATTGTGAAATATTATTAATCCAGCAGGTGAAAATGGTGCATCTAGGTATTTAACAGGATGGTACGACTTGAAATAAATGTCCAAATAACTGTGGTACTCTAATATACAATGTAGTCTGTTCTGCTCTCCAAGGCTGCATTTATTTGATCAAAAATACAGTAAAATAAACGCTGTTCTTTTGAACTTTCTATTCATCAAAGAATCCTCAAAAAATATTTTGTTTTTACAAACATTTTAAGCAGCAGAAGCAGTTTTCGGCATTGATGATAGTAGTAAGAAACTTTATTAATAATTAAGTACCAATAATAATTTATAATTGAGTACTTAAGTAGAAAAAATAATAAAATTGATTAATTAAATTGAACACAGTAAAGACATTTATAATGTTACAAACAAAAAAAGCCATTTTAAATAAATGCTGTTGTTTATTTTCTATTCATGAAAGAATCATGGGAAAAATATATCACAGTTTCCGCAAAAATATTGTGCAGCACAACTGTTTTCAACATTGATAATAATCAGAAATGTTTCTTGAGCAGCAAATCAGCATATTAGAATGATTTCTGAAGATCATGTGACACTGAAGACTGGAGTAATGATGCTGAAAATACAGCTTTGATCTCAGAAATAAATTACAGTTTAACAGATATTCACATAGAAAACAACTGTTTTGAATTGTAATAATATTTCACAATAACAGCTGTTTTAAATTGTAATAATATTTCACAATTTTACTGTATTTTTGATCAAATAAATGCAGCCTTGGTGAGCAGAAGAGACTACATTGTATATTCGAGTACCACAGTTATTTGGACATTTGTTTCAAGTCGTACCATCCTGTTAAATACCTAGATGCACCATTTTCTCCTGTTGGACCAGAAAATATGGGTAAAAATCCCACAGACACATTTATGTACATTTATGAATTTTGTAGATGCTTCTATCCAAAGAAAGGAAGAAACACTGTATGTTGGTGATGTTTTGCAGAGACAACTCCTCTTTAGTCCAAACATTGTAAAGGTAGAGCAGCCAGTTGGCATGACAACGTTTTTTTTCTTTTTCTTATTTTTCTCTGAGTAACACAACACGAATTCTCCAAGTGTAAAAAAGAGAGGAGAGCTTTGTAAATTAGTCTCTTTCATTTTGATGTTACGCTCTCGCTGTTACAGCCTCTGCTGCAATACGGGATTCTCTCCATTCTTAAAGAGCTGCTTCATGTTGTTAAAAACTGCTGCTGCTGCCAGCACTTCAGTTTAGGGTTTACGCAAATGAACTGCATGTAGTGCAAAGTCTGTTTGATTAAATGTGCTAAGGAGCAACAGAACCAGCACTGAAACACATGGGTTATGCTAGTAACTAATGCATTTCAATGCTTGTTTTCATGTTGGTGTTAAAGGGGTCATATGATGTTGCTAAAAAGAACATTATTTTGTGTATTTGGTGTAATGAAATGTGTTTATGCGGTTTAAGGTTCAAAAAACACATTATTTTCCACATACTGTACATTATTGTTTCTCCTCTATGCTTTAAACATCTACTGTCTTAAATTTGAATAATTTCTGTCAATTCAGACCTCCAAACTAAAATACAGTGTTATTTTCTGTGATTTCTAGAAGAATACAAAACATTGTCAATCGACACTGAATAAAAAAAAATGTTAAGAGTTAAGAGTGTTAACAATGCATTTATGCATATACTTGCTATGCATTCAAAATATAAACTTTATTAATCCATGCATTTTCTTTTTATTTCTAAATGTTTGTTTATTTGAACATGAGTTTATGTGCGTGTGCACATTCATCAGCATTGCATCTGAATGTTATATGCAATACAAAAAAAATTCTAACTACATTTTGCATTAATTGAAATCAATATGCAGTGTCGTGCTTTCACTATTTCTGAAGTTATTCTTTTGAGGAGCGTTTATTTCTTCATCTCTCAATCACTGCATTATATGTCTGGATCATTTCAATCTCATCTTATTTTTAGACATATTACTGGAGATATAGAGCGACGACTGATATTTAGATCATTTTATGTTAGTATCTGCTGCACTGTTATAAACATCTCATTGATTTACATTATAAGCAGCAGAATGTCATCCTATAAATATCAGCATCTGCTGCAAATTGCATATTTCTGAATAAAATTGAGCTGTTTTTACTTCATATTCTCACTATATCAGGTTATATGAGCCATAAAAGCCTGATGCATCAAAGAGATTATTTTTAATTATTTTGTCTCAAGCTTCAATAAACCGTTCCATTTTTTTGTTTTTTAAATGGAGGACTATTATTTAATATATCAGGCTTTATAGGGTTAAATAGGCTTATATAAGACATCTTGGTATCGTCCTCATCTACCTAAACATCTTAAGGAGTTTTTGTCACTGTTTCCTTTGAATTGATCACTAGTTATTCTTTGTAAACAATAACTATGCTTTGAAACAGTGTGTATTATGAAAATAAATGTATAACCTGTTAAAATCAAGCTATATATTGTTTTCTAACAATAATGGAAGCATTTCCTTCAAAAAGACTCGTTTGGCTGCTGTCCTTGGTGCTGAACGTCGCCTTCATAAACACTGAACAATCCACTGAGAACGAGCCTGATGCTTTTTCTGAAACATTTACAGTCAGCGTGAAAAGAGAGATGTCTCATGGAGACAAATTCAAATAAACGTCATCCTTCATTCAGATCAAGCGTATGTGCTGTAGATGTGAGTGCTGCATTGAAGAGCTGCTGGAATGTAATTGGGATGCTGCAGTGCACTCTGGGTAAAAGTCGTGAGTCACGTATGGAAATCACACCATGACTGGTTTTGTGAATGAAACTCCTGGCTGCTCGACAGACTGATTTCTCTCTTCCCGGAGCAGACGGATGCTGACGGCAGGCTTTCTTTCTAAGCACAGGCACTCATTACACACGAGCTTATATCAGAGCCGCTGCGCTCCAGTCTGAAAGCTTTCGGACATCGACAGGTTCTTATGGTAACAGAGACTCTCAGACTCTCTAACCGCTGGAAATGAGCTGCAGCAGACATTTGTACTTCTCTAAAGGCTGAGTTATCTCTCTTCATCATGTTGTCTGATTTGATGGGGGTTTCCAGCCTGTAACAGTAACTAAAAAATGTTTTAAATGTAACAGGGATTGCACAAAATGTTCAAAGAAAAAATCATGGATTATTAGTGATTATATATTAATTAATGTGTATTTATTTGTAATATATATATATATATATATATATATATATATATATATATATATATATATATATATATATATATATATATATATATATATATATATATATATATATATATATATATATATATATATATATATATATATATATATATATATATATATATATATATATATATATATATATATATATATATATATATATATATATATATATATATATATATATATATATATATATATATATATATATATATATATATATATATATATATATATATATATATATATATATATATATATATATATATATATATATATATATATATATATATATGGAATGTATCCTTTTCTTATATATTTTTATTTTATATTTTTATGGGAATTACACAAAATCACAAGTGTATTATGATCTATTTACCAATTTTTGCAAGTGGGACTATCCAGTGATTCTACTGGAAAGTATTTTATTTTTTTATTATAATACATTTTATTTTATATTTATTATTATAATACATTTTTATGGGATTACACAAAATGTTGAAAGAAACAATCATGCTTATTATCAAGTTATTATGATTATTATCAGTTATTGTGAGTGGTGCTATCCAGTGATAGTACTTTTATTATATAAAAGTAGTATTTTTCTTTTCTTTTTTTTCTTTTTAGTGCTTTTTCTTTTATTATATGTTTTATTATAATAATTTTTTATGGGATTGCACAATTACAAAAAATAATGGGTAATTTACTTATTTATTTACTGCAATTATTATAAGTGGTACTATCCAATGTATTATTTTATTAGATATTTTTATTGACAAATTTTATGGAATTTTATTTTTTATTAAAATATTTTTATTTTTGCTGTTTATTATTAGATTGTTTTATGATGTTTTAAATAGTACTATCCAGTGGTACTATTTTATTATTGTTGTTGTTGTTTATCAAGCCGAGTAGAAAAAATATTTTTCTCCAATTTATCTGGCCAGTTTTGGTTATGAAATGGTTTTCAACCCACCTAGTCATTTTAGCACATCTTTTGCTTTTAAAATGTCTTTGCAAAAACACTGTCTCTGCATTAACATCTGCTTATAGCTTTAATCTTAAATGTGTTTTCAGAGGCCAAAACAACATGTTTTTCTTCGCCTTCAGTATCTGCAGTAGACACTGACATATCCTAACAGATAACGAGGCGAAGCTCTTCTCAGGCTGATGATGCTGATAACCCTGTGCTTCTGTGCTGTGTTATCAGACTGCTCTTAAGCTGATGTAGTGAGCTGTGCTGCTCACAATAATTTCCACCTCTGCGGCAGACCAAAGACAAGCAGAACCCCCTGCTTCCTCCAGCACTTTGCCCTTCTCTCTCAATCAGACAGGAGCTGACACGCGTCTGCGCATCTGATGCACATGTCTCACATGCGTTTCTCCGTTTGCAGAACACGGTGGCCATCGCCTCCATACATTTCCCGCTGGCTACCCCTCGGTCTGTGGAGAACTGCATCTGTAAGCTGCAGCTGATCGTCTTCCGCAATGGAAAACTCTTTCCGTGCACGGGGAATTCGTCAAATCTTGCGGACGATGGCAAGCGCAGAAGCGTTTCGACACCAGTTGCATTCACCAAATTAGGTAAGGCTTTGATTTTCCCCATGCATTTCATCCGTGCATCCTATATATCACTGCGTTTCACCACTAAAGTGTTTTGCAATGGAATATTTTGTCGTTAGCGTCACACGCAATTATGAGAAAGCGCGCGCGTGCTTGCACGATGGTGCAACTGTTGCGTTGCAATTGTGCACGAGTTGTATAAAGCTCGTTTGCGTGCGCAACTCCTCTCATTTGTTAAATTCTGAGATGTGCATGTGCGTGATTGCATGCATCAGCTTTCAAATGCATGCAACACTTGAGGACTTTCCACTCGGTTCGTTACTTGACGCAATGTGTTGCTCTCCTGTGCAGATGGGTGTAGCCCCGGGAGCCCCGTGCAGCCGGTTACCGTCGCTCTCCGGCACTTCTCGTTGGGTGTAGACCCCACCGCGGCATACTGGGATTTTGACCTGCTGGATGGACACGGCGGCTGGCGCGCGGAAGGCTGCCACATAACGGGCTCCGCGCACAACACGACCACCATCCACTGCGCGCACCACAACAACCTCGCCGTGCTCATGGTAAGAGTCTCCCGCTCGTCCAAGTCGGATTATGGCTATTGTGGAGGCGCAGAGCCAATGAAACACGGCGAGCATGTAAACAGCAGTGCTATAGTGATAATATTAGTGTTGCAAGGGCGAATGGTGTGAGGTGTGGATGGGCGCACGTGATAATGAGGTATAAATGTCAAGTGACCAAGTGCGAATTCAATTCAATGCACGTTTATTTGTGTAGCGCTTTTTGCAGTGCATGTCATAATTTCAGATAATAAGTGCATTGAGTTCCAGTATTCAAAATAGCACTTTAGTCCAAAAAATCTCCAATAAAGATGTGCTGGTTTCCTATTGGAGTATCTATCATAATATGGAAGCAAATGCAATCATACAAGAATCCTCTAATGCCATCTTTACACTGCAAAGCCGGCTCAGAAGCGGCTTATGTACCATGTAAAAGTGGATTTAGTGTTTCATTCTGCACTTTTACCCAGAAAAAAATAAAAGCACATAAATGATGTCATTTAAGTCATTTTAAATGTTAAAATATGAATCTAGAAACATGAAAATACAAAGTTGTAAATAAAAGTAATGTTGTTTGAATGTTTTTTTAAATAAATTAAATATAATAATTAAAAATAAATACAATTAAAAAAGAAAAAATATTTATAAAAAATAAATGAGTGAACGGTAGTGTTATTTAAATATTTTTTGAATATTAAAATATGAATCTAGAAACATGGAAATACAAAGTTATAAAAATATATATTAAAAAAAATATTAAAATGCACAAATAATGTCATTAAAATTATTTTTAAATATGATTCTAAAAACATGAAAATAAAAAGTTGTAAATAAAAAAATAAGTGCACAAATAATAATAATGAATAATATTATATATATATATATCACTGTATATATATATATATATACAGTGGGTACGGAAAGTATTCAGACCCCCTTAAATTTTTCACTCTTTGTTATATTGCAGCCATTTGCTAAAATCATTTAAGTTAATTTTTTTTC